TTTATTCCAAACAGTCTGAGCAGTACACAATATTGGCATAATTTGTTTTCCTTGTATCATGGTCAGTGATTTTTTTGTTGTTTGTTGTATGTAGTACACTACTCAAAGTATGTGAAAATCTTTCAGTGACAGCATGAAACTATACACATATTGCAGATTAGAAATTGCACGCGATGAATTCTGTTCCAAAATGTAGATGCGTTGGGATCAGAAGGGACCCACTGTTGTTCGATTCAATAATTAAGTGACCTCCCTCCTTGCATTTTTAATGGTAATCAACAATAGTTTAGACTGAGTTGAAATGAGGAAGAGGAGACACTTGGAAGAAAATGGTAGCTACTTAAAAGCAGAAAAGAAACCCTTGAGCTCTATACAGCAAGAATAGGGGAAAGTTTATTGTCATTTTCGATTCTTTTGAGTCATATGCTAGCGGATGGATCACTGCCTAACTAATGCATTATCAACAGAATTTGCAGCAGCACTACTATCTTTTAGATACCCTAGTCTACTAATGAAAGATTCTTTGAATACACTAAGAGCATCTGTTCTAGATTTCTTTTATTTTAATTCTGTAAAATTCACCTATATTGATGATAATTATGATTTTGATTTGTCTATACTACTGGTTACCATTTGTTATTTCTAGATGGTAAGAAGAACTGTCGAGACTTTTTATTAACAATTTGAAACATGGAGCATTATTCCAAAACAAAATTGAGAGATTATTACTTAAAATATGAAGATGGATTAGCAGTTTTGGATCTGAATGGAAAAAGTCTCTTCTTGGTACTCAACGCAGTCACTGAACTGAGTGAAACAGAGAAACTTGTGCTGGATAAGCATAACCTGATTGAATTACCGGCAAGTATCATCAAGCTGAAAAATCTTGTTGTGCTCAAATTGGATAAAAACAAAATCACTGAACTACCTTCTGAGATCAGTGACCTGAGGAAGCTGAGGGAGCTGAGTGCGAAAAACAACCAGTTGGTTGGTTTACCTACCAGTATTCAGGGGCTGACCAGGCTTGAAAGGCTGTACTTGGATGGAAATAAACTAACTGGACTACCTGCTGAGATTGGTGACCTCAGGGAACTGAGAGAGCTGTGGGTGAGTAACAACCAGTTGGTTGGTTTACCCACCAGTGTACAGAGGCTGACCAAGCTTGAAAGGCTGTTCTTGGATAGAAATAAATTAACTGAACTACCTGCTGAGATTAGTGACCTCAGAGAACTGAGGGAGCTGTGGGTGAATAACAACCAGTTGGTTGGTTTACCCACCAGTATTCAGAGGCTGACCAAGCTTGAACGGCTGTACTTGGATGGAAATAAACTAACTGAACTACCTGCTGAGATTGGTAACCTCAGGGAACTGAGGGAGCTGTGGGTGAGTAACAACCAGTTGCTTGGTTTACCCACCAGTATTCAGAGGCTGGTCAAGCTTGAAAGGCTGTTCTTGGATGGAAATAAACTAACTGAACTACCTGCTGAGATTAGTGACCTCAGGGAGCTGTTGTTACTGTGGGTGAGTGACAACCAGTTGGTTGGTTTACCTACCAGTATACAGAGGCTTACCAAGCTTGAAAGGGTGCACTTGGGTGGAAATAAACTAACTGAACTACCTGCTGAGATTAGTGACCTCAGAGAACTGAGGGAGCTGTGGGTGAATAACAACCAGTTGGTTGGCTTACCCACCAGTATTCAGAGGCTGACCAAGCTTGAAAGGCTGTACTTGGATGGAAATAAACTAACTGAACTACCTGCTGAGATTGGTGACCTCAGGGAGCTGAGAAAGCTGTGGGTGAAATTCAACCAGTTGGTTGGTTTACCTACCAGTATACAGAGGCTGACCAAGCTTAAAGAGCTGGACTTGGATGGAAATAAACTAACTGAATTACTCGTTGAGATTGGTGACCTCAGGGAGCTGAGGAAGCTGAGTGTGTTTCATAATCCTTTAACTGTTGACGCAATAATACGTGCCTTAAAGTTAAGGAAGAAAGGAGTACGTGTATATGGTGTTGCAGGTAAGCACAGCGGATCCGGATATTGTAGTCATTTGGAAGTTCGAAAAAGACCGAGATAAAATTCCAATATTTGCCTGGGAAAGGGAAGTCAGTTTTTTTTGTGTTCCCGGGTTTTTAGCGAATTTGAGGGCTTGATAAATCATTAAGATATGCTACAAACTGTACTTTCAAAATCAATGGTAAGTTTCTTGTACGTATTAATTCATTTTAATTAATTCGTCTGTTTTTAAAATTTCAAATCAGCGGTGGAAAATAGCTATTATCCAGGGTAGGGTAATATCTAAGGTTAATGAACACCAAACAGGGTATTCCATCACACCCTTACTAAATGACTCACAAGTTGTGTTTTCACGAACTTTCAGAGGGAGAGAAGCGACGACCGGAAATACGTCTGCTGTTCGCAGACTAAAGAAATACGAGCTCCCCTAAAAACGCCTTCGGGGGTTGCTTGCGAACAGCAGACGTATTTCCGGTTGTCGCTTCTTTATTTTTCGGAGGGAGAGAAGCGACGACCGGAAATACGTCTTCTGTTCCCGGGCTAGTATTTCTTCTGGGAGGGAAAAAATACGAGCTCCCCTAGAAACGCCTGCGGGGGAGGCTATGTTTTCATTGTGATCGATTTGCTGCTGAGCGGAACATTTTTTGTAGGTGTTTGTTGACATACCGACGATTACTGACTGGCTGTTTTCACTTTTAAATTTAGCTCGGAAGAACTCGGAGGACTCAAACTGAAAAAGCGCGCCACATTAAAAAATGTTAGGAGACGAAGCGCTTTGAATGCGTTTTTGTTTAATGATTCTCGCTATTTTATGAATGCAGTTGAATGGTGTCTCTAAAGAGTAAGAGGATAGGAAGTAATGATGAAATCCTGTTTCAAAATGTAACAGCAATAATTGCCGTAAGTAGCGTGGATTTAACCCGCCGTGCCAAATCGATGAAATTCGTTAATCGAAATAATGGATTCTATTCGATTTTAATCGATAGTAATTAAGGGATTGATATCGGTAATCAATAAATATCGAAGATCGAAAGAGTTGTGAGTATCAATTTTTATCAATTTTCATCCATTTTTTCGATTGTCAATAATAATAATATTTAATACTTATATTGCGCTTTTTCTATAAAAATACTCAAAAGCGCATTACAATATTATTAATAACTAAATTAAAAACCAGTAAAATTACCCGGTAAAATTACAATATTTAAAAATAAATAAATAAATAATCTAACTAAAAGCCTTCTTAAATAAATATGTTTTAACAGAGCGTTTAAAAGAGTCGATTGATGTTTCCTGTCTTATTGGCAGAGGAAGACTGTTCCATAAAAAGGGGCAGCCATCGATAACGCGCGATCTCCCAAAGTCTTCTTCGTTCTTAGCCGAGGTCTTTCTAACAATATACCATTATTGTTACGGCGTAGTTGGTAACGTGAGTCCGGTAAGACAGAGACAAGATCCTTAAGATAGCTAGGCGCAACACCGTGAAGAATCTTAAATGTAACAAGGAGAATCTTAAAATCTAAGCGCATGCGCACTGGTAGCCAGTGGAGTTCTCTTAGCAAAGGAGTAACGCGACAATACTTAGGTGCGCAGTAAACCAATCGAGCACTGGCATTCATGACTCTTTTTGAAGTTTCTTAATTTGATACTCAGGAGCACCGTACAATAAACCATTACAGTAGTCAAGCCTGCTTGTGATGAACGCGTGAACAAGCCTCTCGGTGGACTCACGAGACAAATACTTCCTAATGTGCCGGATATTGTACAAATAATAAAATGCGCTAGCACAAGTCTTAGACACATGAGTCGATTGTAATCCTTTAATAATGATTTCAGATACGTTTGCGCTACCACTGGCTACGAATTAGTAATTAAAAGTCTTACCTATTAATTGTCGATTTGTTCATCGAGGACAAAAGATTCACCCGTGCTTATTGTAAATGGGCACTGGTGGTAGCCCTTTATTACAGCCTCTAGTAATATAAAATGTTCATTTCGCCGGTCATTTGGCAGGCGTCTGTCACAACGCGCAACGCGATTGGCTGCGGTATTTATCAGGACAAGTTACACCATCTCGCGTGGTTGTCAAAGTTTTCGTAATTTTTCGGTCATAAAGCCGAAAAAACAATGAGCATGTTTAACTCGCTAACACAAGACGAGGTGTTTAAACTGTATTTCTGGACTTTTCTGGCTTTATCTAGCTAAAATTTACTCAGTGAAAACACAACCGCAGAGTCTTAAGGGCTTTTTATTTCTTAATGGATGAAGTAATATTGACATGTTATAATTATGGAAGTTTGGCCGCTGAACACAATACGTTTTTAAATAAAAAATTATTCTTACAAAACAATAAACAGACCATTAACGATGAAGAGTTTTGAGCTGTTCAGTATTTAAAGCTCGCTGTTCAAGTTTCAAATTAGAAAAGGTGGCTTGGTTTATATTGTGTTTAAGTCTGAGAAAGCACTTCTCGTGATCTAAACTATAACTGGTCTGAAATTTGTTATACCATTTAACAAAGTTGTAAGTCACACTTAGCTTCACTTAGGTTTGTTTTGCAAGTTAGTTTTTGTTGTTTTCCCTGTCAGCACGCACGGCAATAGTGTAAGTGAATTGTCTTACCGCCCCCCCCCTCCACATGGACGGCAAGGTGTCTTGCCTTTCACCCAGAAACCTGCCCAGCACGTAGCCTTTAGGATCACTAAGGCAACCAAACCTTCCCACCACTTCAAAAGCATAATGCTTAGAGAAAGAGGAGACAACAAACTACAGAATAATTTGAACAAAAGACAATGCCATTAAATTATTTAGCGTAATGACTCGATTTAGAGCCCGGAACGCTTGTATACTTCTGGTTTCTCAAATGAGGGCGCTTATTCGAAACAGGGCGTCTATTTCTTTTAGGTTGCGAAGCAAAAGTCTCGAAACCATAAAACAGGGGCAGGGCACCTTATGAGCAAGAATTAGTAAACGTCTACGATCATGGCTCCTTCTGGCAATCCCTTGATTTGGAGTTCGAAGCTTGTTTATGAAGGCGAATTCTCGTCTGCTATACGAGGTCATCATGTCTACAAACCGACATGGTCTCCAACTTAAGACTCAAATTCCAAGCTATCAGTGACATTTAACGCTTTACCCTTCCATTTATTCTGACAAATAATAGCAACACCACCACCGATCGGCGAGCCAGCTCTATCTTTCCTCACCATAATATACGGGGGCACCCAACGAGAATATAGTTCAAAACCACTTAAACATAGCATTGTTAAACGTATTTTAGTATTTAAACGGTAGATATAGGCATATTTTTATCTCCTAAAAATTTTTCATCTGTTCGGATTTCACTAGTTGAAAGTCTAGTGAACCGAAAATTATAGGGATTAAAACTTACCTCTTCGAAAATTTCAGCCAAAAAAAAGGTTCGCTAAAATGCTAGGGGACCTTTTTAGGGTAAAAATCAGTTAAAAATGGGCAATTATACCATTTTTTTGATGTTCGAAAATCCTAGGGGAGGCAGGAAAGCAAGAAATTTTAAAACAAATGCTCCGAAAATTCTAGATCTCAAATCGTCTTCCGAACAGATATTTTCCGAAAATTGATGTTGGGTGCCCCTGAATACAGCCCTCTGGCCAATTCGAATGTGATAAGATTATCATACTCAACCATGACTCTATATGTTTAAAATAATCGCCTCCCTCCAATAATCGCCCACCCCCACCCCTCTCGCCATCTTCTCTTGCTTTTATCCCTTCCCTGTCAAGTTGCAGTGAAGCCTGATCCAGCAAAACTGATTAGTGACAATTCAAGCTCGGGTGCCGAGGATGTTGGCATTGAAACTTTATCAAATGACCAAAATAATTTTCGGTTTGATGGAATAATTAAAACAAAATATTTAGGACACGACCTCCAGTGAGCAATATTTGAAATAATCGCCCCCTCAAATAATCGACTCTTTTTTGGGGGAAAAAAATAGTCATCAGTAGTAATACTGGTTACTTCATCACACAGCCAATCAGAATCGAGTATTTCAAACACGTGACTGAATTAATTTACTTTCGACCAATCAGCGTTCAGGATTTCATGGGGTAAGTACTACATGTAAAACCATCACGAAAAGTCTCCCAACATTCCCCCGTCATGTAAGACACACGAAAAGTCACGTTTCAACCAATTTTATTCTAACGTCATACCTAGCGTTACAATCGGGACGTGTGTGACCTCCTATTGACGTCACGCCCATTTCGTTTTAAAAAGTTTAAAAAGTCATCAAAAAAATGGTCGGGAAAGCGATGGTTCAGTGGCCATCGCCGGTACTGGCAAGAAGTTCTCGCTTTCGGTCAATGAGTCCAGCCAGCGAGGTGGGACTCGAGGCTTACAGGTTCGAATCCTGTCGGGAACGTAACTCTTTTGGTTCTTAAATCAACTCCATTCTTGTTCCTAATGAGTGGAAAGTCTATTTATAAAAATAGGAATGAAAGGTGCGATCGCCTGGCAACACATGTCTTCTTGTTTAGCGCTAAAAATCGGATATATAAACAAAACACACACACACACATACACAGAGTGGAGCTGAAAACTCTCTATTTCAATTTTGACTCACCATTACGCGTGTTTTAATTGATCCTTGTTAAGTTATCAATTGTTTGTAATTTTACAATAATAAGTCAAGGTGCTCCCTTGGGTCTAGCTGTAGATATGAACTAATTTATATTCCAGTTTGGACTTGTTACGCCGCATAATTAACTGACTAACGGCGACCATAAGCTCCTCAAGTGCTGAGATTTCAATAGTTAGTCGTTTCCTCGAGATAGAACGGAGAAAACGCTTTCGTAATGGTGAGTCAAAATTGAAATAGAGAGTTTTCAGCTCCACTCTGTGTATGTGTGTGTGTGTGTGTGTTTTGTTTATATATCCGATTTTTAGCGCTAAACAAGAACACATATGTTGCCAGGCATCCTCGGAGACCCAGGGGCAGATAGTGGGGGCGAGGGAAAGTCTAAACGGGCGGAAAAATATGGCACGAAGAAAAGTAAAGAACGGCGAGAAGAGCCCCTGGGGACAATGTCTTACCAGACAAGTTCCAGACGGTCGCCGCCGTTCTGGCTTCTGATTGGTGCCAGAAAAACACAAGTTTTCTGCCACCAATCAGAAGCCAGAACAGCAGCGACCGTTTGGAACTGGTCTGGTAAGACATTGTCCCCAGGGGCTCTTCTCACCGTCCTTTACTTTTCTTCGTGCCATATTTTTCCGCCCGTTTAGACTTTCTCTGGCCCCCACTATCTGCCCCTGGGTCTCCGAAGATGGTTGCCAGGCGATCGCACCTTTCATTCCTATTTTTATAAATAGACTTTCCACTCATTAGGAACAAGAATGGAGTTGTTTTAAGAACCAAAAGAGTTACGTTCCCGACAGGATTCGAACCTGTAAGCCTCGAGTCCCACCTGACTGGCTGAACTCATTGGCCGAAAGCGAGAACTTCTTGCCAGTACCGATGGCCACTGAACCATCGCTTTCCCGGCCATTTTTTTGATGACTTTTTAAACTTTTTAAAACGAAATGGGCGTGACGTCAATAGGAGGTCACACACGTCCCGATTGTAACGCTAGGTATGACGTTAGAATAAAATTGGTTGAAACGTGACTTTTCGTGTGTCTTACATGACGGGGGAATGTTGGGAGACTTTTCGTGATGGTTTTACATGTAGTACTTACCCCCATGAAATCCTGAACGCTGATTGGCCGAAAGTGAGTTAATTCAGTCACGTGTTTGAAATACTCGATTCTGATTGGCTGTGTGATGAAGTAACCAGTATTACTACTGTCATCGCTCCCGGCTATTATGCTAGGAAATACGGTATCAATGTTATTGTTAGTAAGCTCAGCATAAAGAGCCCGAACTGCATCAGGTTTTGCCAGGGACCGGGCATTCAAAACCATACACTTTGGTACTATGTTTGGTGCTGTAGACCCTTTGTTGATTTTAACAATCGAGAGCGTTCGCGGCCGTTCACTCGGGTTGCGTGAATTAGGGTCAACCTTGTCACGATAGGATGGAACAATAGTCGGTGATTGAATAGCGGCGCTTTTTGGTATTGAGGCGCTTGGAATGCCGGGGTGGAGGGTACTTCCTAGTAGTAGGCTAATGGGTATGTGCTGCTGGATTGGGTCGCATTTTCACGACTGGATTGACTATTATGGGGTTACATTTTTATAAGAGTGACTGGAACGGGGTCGCACATTTTCAGGATTTTTGGGGTCAGAAAATCCAGGTATGTAGGGATTTAAAAATAGTAAGATTTACACCACACCAAGTTTAACAAAAATCTGGCAGATCATTTCAGGATGTTCTTTTTTCCAAAAGTGACTAAGATAGGGTCTATAATATCGCCACAGTATAGACTATAATGAGGTCGGGGTTTTGAGAGGCCAGCAGTACATACCTAACAAAAATTAACCCAATTAACCCCCCCCCCCCTCGGGTTGGAACGAGGGTGCTTATGCAATACGGGTTCTTATTAGAGAGTGGGCGCTTATTGGAACGAAGTTAGTTCGTTGATGTTCAGAATAATTGTTTCTTTTAGAGGTACAGGTATTTCGCGTGAGTGCAAACAACACTTATAATTCTGGTGATGCAAAACACAACACTAATTTTTACGCACCATTCATGGTGTTTTGAACATGCATGGAGACTTGAAGTAAGCGCAGTAAAAAAACACGCTTAAAATAGCAGGTGGATTGTTTAACAGTATCAAAAATAACCAAAATCTAATTATATGTCACATTCGAAATTCAGTAACATTATGTTTACCATATATTTGGTTTAATAACTTAAAAGAGTGTACTGAAAGATCACAAGAAGGACAATTAACACTGGTGTAGAACTAATTCTCTGATGAAAAATAATCCCCCTCCCCCCTTGACCGCGGACTACGCAACCTCTTAGACATTACTTACCTTTAATAACCATTCGGTTTCTCTTTTTTTCACTAGCTCCTTTAGAAATAGAAGCACGTGGTGAAAAAGCACAGCTCGCTTATCAAAGTGCTCTTAAAGATGGAGCCATTAATGTTTACCGTGGTCGAGTATTACTTATTGGGCAGGATCGGGCAGGAAAAACAAGTTTGAAGAAGTCTCTCATTGGTCTGCCGTTTAATCGAAAAGAGAAAAGTACTGACGGAATTGAAGTGGATCCTTCAAAATTTCAGATAGACCTTGATGAAGTCAGGAATTGGCAACCTATTGATGAGAGAAAACAAGGATTGCTGGGATGTTCGAGAGATGTGGCACAGATGGTGGTGGAAAAGATGTATAATATTACAGTTAACCGCGACTGGGTTCAGGGAGAGGAAAGAGGTGAAGCAATACTTCAAAGTGGTGATAACAAGAATAGGAAACAGGTTGATACTGATGGAGAAAAGGAGGAAGTTTCTCTTTTGAACCAGGTTTGTCTTTGTTGGTTTTGAAATGTGATGTTTTTTCTTGAATCCATCGTTACTGCAAGAACGGGCTATTTCCATGATTGTACGCATCTACACGTAAGCTGAGCCTTTGGGTTAGCAGTGCGTGTGCAAACCAAAGTGAGTATAGCCGTATCTTGATTTATTTTTGAGTGTTAATTAGGCCTCGAGTATAGCTATCGCTTAGTTTTTTTTTCTCTTTTGTTAATCACAATTTCGCTTGTTTCCTTTTCTTTATGCGAGGAGCCAAGGGGCTGGGGGCATTGAATCAAACACCATTTTCCTATATATTCTTAAATTTACTGTTCCTTAAAAAATTTAAGAACATATTAATGTTTTGTCTACCTTAAGCCTCCAATAATTGTGCCTCAATGTTTGAGCTTATTAAGAATTTTCTGTCATCAAAACAACTTTAATTGGCTGAATAATCGAAAAAAATCGTACCAGCTATGTTAAGTCTTTCAGAATCAGAATCGACAGTTATTATTTTTTCCTACTGTGCTACAGGTTTGCGATCCAAACGAAGACAGTGTTAGTGAACCCACGTTAACAGGACCTGATCATGAGTTAGTGGTTGATACTACTTTACTTCCAGAGGAGATCAAGGAGCGAGCTGTACAGTTGATAAAGGAAATACAAGGTGAAGTTATAAAGGCTGAAGAATCTGTTGTCAGTATTGAACTGTGGGATTTTGCTGGACAACACCTGTATTATGCATCTCATCCTGTATTTTTAACATCACGTGCGCTGTATATCCTGGTGTGCAACCTCAGCAAGTCACTGCATGACACAGCCAAGCCTTGTGTGAGGCAAGGGTCTCGGAATGTTCATTTGGAAAACCCAAATGGAGAAACAAATCTTGAGAACTTGTTGTCGTGGCTGTCCACAGTGCATAGCGTTGCACAGATGAGAAGAGAAACCTGTGATGATGTAGAAAAAGAGGTGCCTCATTTGCGCCCCCCAGTGATCATTGTAGGAACCCATGCAGACAAACCATTTGAAGACATTGAAACAATGAAAACAGAAATCCAGAACGCAATTGCTGGTAAAGACTATGAAGGACATGTGGTGCGGCCTATCTTCAGCATTGACAACACTGCAAAATTAACTCAAAGAAAAATCCAGAAAAAGGTTTTCGGGAAAGATGAAAACATTGATGACATCCAAGCTCTGCAAGTAAAAATCATGGAAGTGCTAAGACAGGAACCTTACATTGGGGAGAGGATACCTGTGAGGTAAATTATGGTGATACAAGAACAGAATCAATTAAAGTAAATATTAAAAATAGTTTCCATGTCAAGGGTTGAACTATGAACGCACTGAAATTGCGGTTTATAGGTATGGCGTTTGTTTCCACCAGTCCTTGTAAGATTTTTTCTTTGATATGTGATGAATTTCAGGTGTCATCAGTAACTCATCCACTGTGACCCTACATAAAAGCGTGGCCGCAAAACATCTTAAGGCTGCTTCATTGTAGTTTTTTACTTTAGTTAAAAAAAATTACAGCGAGAAGAGAAAAATTCAGTGATTCCTGTATGAGCCACCTAGCGGTCATAAGAAATGAGAATATCTCGTTGATTGAAACAAGTTAACCATGAAAAGCAGTTTTGACTGGCGTTAAAGAATATTCTACCCTGAAGGGTTTGATTATCTTATTTCGAATTGGCCGAAAAGCAATGTGTACATTTCATTGTTTTAAAAAGGTAAAAGTGAAGTGGATCACACACCCGTTAAATCTGTAGTAAACTGCATAACTGCACAGGGAAACCATTTCGAACATGACCAAGTGTATTAGTTAAGCTCATATAATCTTATATTTATCTTATTTCAACTTTAAAAGACCATCAATAGGCCACTTGCACTATGACATCATTTTACTACTACGACCAGAATCCTTCAGGGTTTTGCTACCTTGTGTAAATTAAGGCTTTTGTTATTTAAACCTCACTGGGATTACAAAATTTAAATATGAAAGAAAGAACGAAAGGATTCTGGCCGTAGTAGAAAAATGACGCCATCATGCAAATGACCTAATACTAATAAAAATTCTCCACGGTTAATCACATGTCAGCAGTCATGTTTTGGAACGTGTGCATGCTTCTGTCCCCGGTTGTTCAAATAATGAATCAATATCGCACAGAGAAGGCCCTGTACTTTACTCGGTACGGGTATGCTGTGACATGGTTACTTCAATGCGCGCTATCGATTTTCTCTTTGCTTTTATTGACTAGATGGTTACACTTTGAGAAGATGATCAACGCTTTACTTTCCAAGCCCAAGCCAGATTATTACCTAAGTATAACGAAACTACGGACCCTTGCCAAGGAGAAGTGCTTCATCCATGATAAGAAAGAGTTTACCACCATGGTGAATTTCTATCATGACCTGGGGATAATTATCAAGCACCGTAGCACAGTCATCTTGAGTACCCAGTGGCTGATAAACTTGTTCGGACAGCTGATCACTATTCCAGACTTTAAGAAAATGGTAAGAAATGGATTTTAAACGTGTTTTAAAACTTGCAAGGCTTATAATGTTCCACATTTTGGAGGACATCACAGGTTTCCAACCGTGCTGTAGCTAATAAAAATAACTATATCAGGAGCATTGCTCGCTATCTTTTTGAAAATGTTAACTGTTCCTCAAATATTTCTAAAGAGCAAAATCGTAGTGGATTGGGCTGCTATTTAATATTTTCCCAGTGTTAAACAGTTAGGGTAGGCGATGTAATTCTGAAATGAAATCTTATAACAAACCTATAACAACTGAATTAGTACTAATGCCTGGTCAGCAGTCGTCCCTGTAATCAACCCGCTATAATGACGTCACTAAGAGCAAACAATACAATGAAACATTTTCACTGCGCTTTCTTATTTGAACGTTGTAATATCCCAAGAGGATTCTTGTTTCAATTTCGAAGGACATCAGGTGACGTCACGAGGTAACCGCTAACAATAAGAGGAGCTTATAACCAATTTACCCGCAATTTTCCCTTTATCTAGGGTCAATGAAATTGGACAACCAAACAGAGTGAAAATACATATTGTATATAGAAAGGAAACCTGACATTTCTCCTCCTGAACTGATACACGCGAGGAGCGAATTGCGAAAAAATTTATAACACTGCTCAACCTGCACAAAAAAGAAGAAGTTTAGCTTGTACCAAGAAGTATTGTCTCCTACGCTGTCTTCCTTTTGGCTCGTTACGCAACCCTCTCCAACTAGATTACAAGTAGTCTCTTCCTCAGGGATAGTGGAGCGAGCGAATTACGCGAGCGCGCGTGAAATTTGTCACCCTCGAGGAAGGTGACAAACGTTCCTGTGTTTTAATCGCTCAAATATCCCAGAGGAACATAAGGGGCCACTCGGAGTATAGCCTCAGTAGTATATTAGGGATAGAACCAGCCTTTTTTGCGGTGGAATGTTCGCTGGAATACATAAACGCTGATGATGTCATAACCTTTTGTCTTTATCTCATGAATAAAATGCGGTTGAATCTCTTTAAAGGGTTGAAAATAGCACACGGCCTTATCTTAGGGCCAGTTTACATCGAGGTGGAGGACCCTAGATAGGTGAGGTAACCCGGTGCTGGTCACCCCAGCTATCATGTAAACGTGGTCAAATTAAAATGAGACATTATGTGGACAGACTGGTTACCCCACCTAAGCGGGCTACCTCACCTACCTGGGGTCCCTCACCTCCATGTACACAGGCCCTAAGATAAGGTCGTGTGCTAGTTTTAACCCTTTGGACAGGTTTTCCAGTTATTTCTTGGTAGATGAAGGTCTTGCTTTTTGACTGGTTGACGACTATATGTAAGAACTAGGAAAAGTATTCAATGGTTGATTCAGGTTGTCGAAGGAATAAGCGCTAACTCGCCTGTGACGTAGTTACGCAAGTTACATTTCATACCGCTTTCATTGTTCAATAAGTTGTTCCGGTTTACTATGCGCGCAAATCGTTAATTTTTCATGAATACGAAGCCACACTAGCCCTTTCTACCACGAAAAACATTTTTCCACTTTCCCACATCCCTTTTTCCTTTTCCACATTTCATTGTTTCACATTGTTTCTTTCCACCACGACAACCACGTTTCTATTGCTTTCTCTCAGCGCGAGGTTATGGTGAACGTTGTAAAGAAAAGAAAACTTAACTTCGTAAATCTTCTAACGTTATTGGAAAAAATTGTGTACGAACCAAACGGAGGGCTGCTTAGAAGGCTATCCTCTTTACTTTTATTCACACAGTAGTACTTGTTAGGCAGACTACGTAACTTTTTCTTTATATGCGTCCCCACACAAAAACGGAAAACTCAAGATCTTTTTCTTTGTTTCTGCATTAAAATATTAAATAAAATAACCAACAATTTACAAGTGCATTAATTAACTGGTTCAAAATTCCCCCAAAATATCACTATTTTAAGAAAGCTTTGTTATTGTCCTTCACCTTATTCCGTCTTAGGTTCCTAAGGTTGCCAAGCACTGGAAGGAAGTTAAAGAAAGCGGTGTTCTCTCCATGGAACTGGTTGATCTTGTGTTTTCCAACTTTCTCCTGAAGGGGGTTGCCAGGAAAGACATTCTTGATTTGATGGAACGATTTGAATTGATTGCAAAATTTTCATCTTCAAAGACAGGTGAAAAGTATTTTGTTCCATCTCAACTCAAAGCTTCGCCTGATTCCCTTTGTTCCATGGCGCCTACAAGGCTAGACCCATGTCCTCTGTATGTTTACTTTGTCAGCGGTTCTGTTCCCCATGGTCTGTTCACACGGCTTGTTTCTCGATGTGTCCGTTGGTGTTCTGAAGTTGGTCCAACTCAGCCCCCTACCCTGTACCAAAATGGAGCGTGGTTTGTTATTGGGAAGCAAATTTTTCATGATTTTGTTCTTATTTCTAAGAAGCAGTTTATTAAGTTTTTTATCAAGCAAAGAAACCAACCTCAGCAGATCTCAGTAGATGACACAAGTGAGGTGGCGGTGCAGGTTCGTGAGTTTGTGGAGGCAACTTTGCAAACTTTGTCACGTGATCTCTATAAAGGTGGATTGCAGTATCATATTCGGGTCGCCTGTCCGTATTGTCAGCGGGAAAAGTGTTCAAGCCATAATCAGATTGCATGTTCTTATGAAGATTGTCTTCACCTCCTTGAGTTAAGACAAGGCTTTCCCCTGATTTGCAAGGAGAAACCTGCAGAGGAGGTACTCACTGTTACGGGACAAGAACAGTGGTTCTCACAAATAGAAAGTAAGGTAGGTAGTAGTGAAATGCAATCTCTAGCAGTGCTGTAGCCATATATTTAAACTAAAGAGGCTTCAACAAAGTCCATGGATGTGCTTTGTTAAGGTTATAGTATGAGGTTTAACGTATGCCTTTATTTATCCAACCACGAGCTCCACTAGAGTGTTAGAGAAGGCTTTGTTGCTATCAACTTAGCAAACATTGGTACTTCAAATCAAGTAAGTTGATAAGGTCAATTGGCTGCCATGTATTAATAATTGTTATTGGTCTGTAGGCATAGCAGTTGGCATATAAGGTTTTCTCAAGGTCTTTGTAAATGTGCTGTTTTGCTTTGCGGTTGAGCAATAAGTTTGTAGCATCTACCGTGTTGATAAAATGTTTTGCAAACCTTCATTCAAAAAAATACGGGGGCACCCAACGACAATTTTCGGAAGAATATCTGTTCGGAGGAAGATTTAAGATCTAGAATTTTCGAAACATTTGTTGTAAAATTTCTTGCTTGCCTGCCTCTCCTAGGATTTTCGAACATCTAAAAAATGGTATAATTGCCTATTTTTAACGGATTTTTACCTTTAAAAGGTCACCTAGAATTTTCGGGAGCCTTTTTTCTGGCTGAAATTTTCGAAAAGGTAAGTTTTGATCCCTATAATTTTCGGATCACTAGACTTTCAGCTACGAAATCCGAACAGATGAAAAATTTTGAGGGGATAAAAATATGCCTATATCTACCGTTTAAACACTAAAATAGGTTTCACAAGGCTATGTTTAAGTGGTTTTGAACTATATTCTAGTTGGGTGCCCCTGAAAATAGAAGCCCCCAGATATAAAATTTCTGTTTTAAAGTATCCAATTTTGGTTCCCAAACAGGAAGCGTGTTCTCCATCATCATCACCTGATACTGCACAGGTTCGTCCAGAGCGTCTGGTACTGAAAGTTACCCTTCTAGCGAATGAGTGGGGCTCGTCCAGGGGTGGCTTGTCAACAATAAACAGGACTCTTGCCATACATTTGGCAAAAGACGAAAACGTAGAAGTGACCATTCTTGTACCTGAATTTGAGTGTGGAGAAAAAGACAAGAGAGTTGCCAAAAGTCACAACATTTCAATCAGGGAAGCAGGGCATCTACCTGGCCTTAGTGATCCTCTCGACTGGTTGAGCTATCCACCAGAAGACCTTGACATTCAGGTTGTGATCGGCCATGGAGCAAAGCTTGGTAGACAAGCACAGATTATCAGAAAGTCTCATCGATGCAAGTGGGTGCAGGTTGTTCACACTGAGCCTGAAGAGCTGGCGATGCATAAGAACTATCCAAGCGCCATTGCCAAGGGAGAAGGGAAGAACAGAGCTGAAGTTGACCTTTGTCAAATTGCAGATCTCGTTGTAGCCGTTGGACCCAAGTTAAAAGAAGCGATCTCGTCCCAGTTGCGTTCATCTCGTCGAGAAATCTTTCAATTAGTACCAGGTTCCTCTACAGAGTTTTCACATGTTGAGCATTCTGAACAAGAGAATGTAAATTTCAAAGTGTTAGCCTTCGGTCGCGGTGATTTTGAAGACTTTAGTCTTAAAGGATACGACATTGCCGCTAAATCCATAGTTGAATTGAAGGACAGCTCCTATAGTCTTGTTTTCGTTGGTGCATCTGATGGAAGGCAGGATGACGTCGCAGAAATCTTACTCCAGACTGGCATTTCAAAGAACCAGCTGATTGTAAGATCATTTGTGAAAGACAAACAAAGATTGAGAGAGTTGTTTTGTGAAGTCGATCTGGCCATCATGCCATCAAGAACCGAGGGGTTTGGTTTGACAGCAGTGGAAGCCATGTCAGCTGGTCTTCCCATTCTGGTTAGTGGAAACTCCGGATTTGGAAAAGCACTGCGTGGTCTTCCAATGGGTGAGTCATTTGTGATCGACTCTGATGACCCCAAGGAATGGGCAAAGGCAATTGCAGCCATCCGTCAAAAATCAAGGACACAGCGGCTTGAGGAAATCCAAAGACTGCGAAGAAGTTATGATGAAAGTTTTTGTTGGGAGGGACAGTGCCAGGCCCTTGTTGACAGGATGTGGAAGATGGTCTATGGTAAGAAATCAAATTTACCGATAGAATTAAAGTAACGATAATAATAATAATTAGTACCTGATGATTTTCAAATGCGTATCTTTTCAGTATTATCCTCCATTTGGCCTTCATGATCTATCGCTGTATGTCCATTGCTTCTGCAATAGCGATTTCATAAATACATTTTTACTATATTATGTTTCGTGGTTTATGTGCATCCCTGCAGAAATATTTTTGTTAACCTTTTATCCTAATGTTGGTATTCACATTCTCCACACTGTTCTTCATACATTTCTTGAGTTACTGATGAGGAGAATTTGTTTAACAAACAAGATCGTTTTTACCGGCTGATCAATTCCATTTTTTGAAACTTTCACGTATAATTTTATATCATATTAACGATAAATTAAAATTTTAAATCCATAAGATTGCGATTCATCAAAGTCATCTGATTTCTATTCATATCCAGCAGCAATGGTGGGTTGTCACTAAAAATGAAGGTTGGAATCGCTCATTTTTTTAAGAGTGACATGTTTTTCTGTAAGTCATCATTTTTGTTGTTAACTTTACAGGTCTTGAAATAACCAAAGAAGATGACGTTCTACAGAACGACTGTGAAAAAGATGCTGCAACAGGACCGATAGCAGGTAATGTCATTGTCAATTAAACCAAAGACAACTTATTTTTTGTAGTGGAGTGAGGTTATTTCTTCTGTTGAACCAGGGTACTTTTGATTTTTCGGGTGCTTTTAGTTTTTCAATGCTTAGTGTAGCATCTCCAAGTAAACTGACTTAAAATAACTGTTTCCCTCTCCCGCTTACAGCCAAACCATTTAAATTTACTGCTAATTAATTTTAAACTTTTACAGGTGTTGAAAAAAACCGAGAAGATGACGTTCTAAAGAATGACTTTGAGAAAGATGCTGCAACAGGACCGATGACAGGTGATGTCAATATTTGCTTTGCCAATTAACCCAAAGCCAAAATTTATTTTTGCAGTAGAGTGACGTTATTTTGTTCTTCTAAAACCAGAGTAATGTTACTGAAATTGTCGGCCGGTTTAAGCTTCAGACCAGTGCACCATATCCTATTAAACTGGCGTGAAATAACCTCTATCTTATTTTATCTTTTCATCGTCTGCATACAGGCAAACCCATTTTCCGTGCACTTCAACAAATCCTGCTGGAAGCACGCACAGAGCCCAGCAAAACTGAGCTTTCGCAGACTTTAAAGAGGACTGCGTTGGAAAAAGGGTTTACGATATCTGACAATCAAGGAGAGGGAAACTGCATGTTTTTTGCACTTTCAGAGCAGCTTGACCTTATCAAAGGAATTCAAATCTCCCATGATGAGTTACGCCGAACTGTTGTACAGCACCTTCGGGAAAACCCCAGGCTGGTAAGTATCTTATTACCTTATTATGGTGCACACATTTGCAGTATACGCGCATAGCCGTGGCATTTGCCCCCCTACATTGTTTTGATTCCTCTTAAAGTTAAAAGAAATAAGGCCTTGTCCATACGTATCCGAAATACGGGTCCACACGAAGCCTATTTGAATCTTTTTCGCCTGTCCACATAAAAACGCTAAAATGATTGAAATACGATAGCATCCATTTACAAAGCATGCGTAATGTTGTTTTCTAAAACCTCTGTATTCGTTCATCCGCACGTCGTTTTTCAATGTCACCAATCCTGAGACCGATCACGTGTGGGCGGAGGGCTAAAATGGACAAATAAATCTCCGATTTAAAAAAAAAATGTATCCGGATACGTGTGGACGTGGCCCTTAAATTCCTGCGATTATGTGACGGCTTTACGGGTATGCTGCAAATGAATTCATCCTTTATGAGCAAAACAACAGCTAGCTCTGCACGAGCATCACGCTTTGCTTCTTCGTCCACTCAATCAATTAATCAATCAATCAATCTTTATTCCTCCTAAGATAAAAAGACATATCTTAAGTTACATCAGCAGTTGGAAGTCTAAAAATACATAAGACATACTGTATACAAATAATAGAAAGATCAAAGATTATATCTAAAAATAAGTCTATTTACAAAAACATTCTTAAATCTTTCAGTCTTTATTTCCGGGCGATGAGCACTTTTGTTTAATACATTGATACGTTGTTTTTTTCTTCTTCGGAATGATGTTACTAAGCTGGCAATCGGCATCCACTGAACGTACCTTGAAAAGCTTCTTATCTACAAGTCTTTCCTTTTAAAGCATCTATCCAAAACGTTTTGTATGACCTTGAGATCTGAGTGTACAGCGCCATAAACAGGCAGACCATAAGTGAAATTCGGTAAAACTGAGGCGCTAAATTGGTGGTCTACTTCACCTTGACTGAAACCTCGCTTCCGTAGAGATCTAAATGCAAACAGACACTTATTTGCCTTAATCAACTTAGCACGTACGTGTTCGCTATATTTACAATTCTCCTGAAACGTAACGCCTAAAATAGGCAGCTCCGTGCATTGCGGAATGTTATTAACTTGCGCAATATCCTGAATAAAACCTTTCTTGCGAAAATAATTTCTTGACATTTCGACGGATTACAAATCATACTATTTTCCTTAGACCAAATTAAAAACTGATCCACCAAATCCGTACGACAGTGGCCATTACTCCAAATGGGAACAATGAGAGTAGAGTCGTCCGTGTATTTAAACAGAGCTGGGTGATTATCTATGCTGATTTCCAGATCATTAATAAAAATACTAAATAAGTACGCACCACTCACACTGCCCTGTGTAGTGCCCCTGTTGACACATTGCCATTGTCCTTGAAAACTGTTGTAAATAATGCACTGTTGACGATTCTCAAGAAAGCTTAAATACCAGCTGATTATGAATGGATTTAGAAGTACATCCTTAAGCTTATAAGACAAAAGTTCATTATTAACCCTGTCGAACGCTTTACTGAAATCCATGGCAAACAAACGCACGGTTTTACACTTAGGGTCATCTAGAAACAATAGACGGTGTGCTGCATACTGAGGAGCGCGTCTACACAGCTCCCCCCCCCCGTCCGGTAGGGAAACTGAGTTGAGCTCAGATGTTGCTGCACGACTACGACGCAAAACTTCCTTATGTGACGTTTTGTGGAGGGCATCGAACACTCGACGGTCAATTATTGTTTTTGGGCTTGGACACAGTGGGCTGAAATCCAAGAAAATTCGTCGACTTATGTCAAACTCACATTATATTGATAGTAAACATCCATTCCCCCCTCTCTCTTACACGTGTAACGGACACCTCCCTAAAACTTACTAAACATACTCCACCTCCCTAAAAGTGTTGGTCCCTGCTGTTCTTAACTGTTGTTTATATATATATATATATAAGAGGTTTGAACTTGAAATCCGTAAAACAGTGCTCAATACATAAAGTAGAGCGAGTATACGTATGGTTGACGGAAGAAAACAAGTAACTACATAAGTATCCCTACCACAGAAACAAAGCCCTCTTGCGCAACAACTGATGTAACGAACCTCGCACTGAATAAATTATGTAAATCAGTCTAGTATATAAGTAATGGTAAAGTTATTCTCATTAAAATCCCCTGATGAGTGGGCAACCACGAAACAGGCTTGTAGGAATACTTATGTAGTTACTTGTTTTCTTCCGTCAACCATACGTATATATATATATATATATTTTTGAGGGGAGTAGTATAGGTCACACAGGTTAGACACCTTTTTTGTAGTGGAATCTTATTACTGTGAAGTGGAATAAATTAACGTCGATGACATCTTTATCTCAGCAATAAAATGCGGTCGAATCTCATCAACATAACGTCACGAGCTATTTTTATGTAGTATTTAGTATATTGATTGATTCTTATTTTGATGATGTAACTTGTTGGGATCATGTCCTTTATTTGTGAGAATGATTTCGTTGATCATTTTAAATGAATGATTTTCCAGTAATCGGAGGCTTAGTTATGAGCACAGGATTATGGGATCGCCAGGGGGGCAAACATTGCAAGTCGCTGCAAAGAAATGTATGGCGTGGAATTGTTTCTCCGTTAAAAAAAGCAAAGTCTTTGGACATAGAATGCCGCATTTTGCCATGATTTTATGAGAAGCGGACAAGACTAATGTTTGTGCGTTGAAATTATAAGTTCTTGTGGGATCGATGCGATGAATTCTATCGATAAACACTCCTTCTTGCGAAAAGGTCGACTGTGAAATTTACTGAATGGTCTCGAAATATATAGTACTAACTTAGGTATAAATGAGCGGGGAATGCGGACTCATTTAAGCCTTTCCAGTTGTAGTTACTTGTGCTGATATTTACAACGAGTGCAATTACGCTCAGCTCGGGGCGATCACAACGCTGTGCCGGTTTGTGACAATGATCAGGTACACATAGAATTTGAAATGTACCAACTATAAAAACAAAACCGTCTTCCCAAGTTGGTATGTTTATTTCTTCTCGCCGAAAAAACGCTAGCAAAATGTTTTGTCATGATCCAGAGCAACAATGAGTTCTAATGCCTTTTCCAATCATTTTGTGGGAAGATAAGGAATCTCTGAATTTCGCACATCAATTTATTTGCAGTTATACACTCACCGCTTTTGTATCGGAAATCTTACTCGTTTTTCGACACTCTCTCTTGCTATTTCTGCCTCATCTACTAATGCTTTTATACCATGTACTTTCCATGAAATATTTCGAAGATGTTGCTTTGTTTATACCAACGTAGAGGAGGATTTTTTGTTTTTATGGCCACGTACATACCTTCGATTGTTGTCTTGTCACAACCCGCACAGCGCCGCATAGCGCTGATCGCGGCCGAGCGTAGTTACACTCGATGTAAATATCACCACACGGAATTACAACTAAAAAGCTTAAATGAGCCCCTTCATTTATACCAAAATTTGCACTATGTATTTCGAGACCTTTCATATAGATAACTGAATTCAGTAACCATAAATTTCACTCTCAACCTCAAGCAAGGAGTGTTTATCAATAGAATTTATCGCATTAATCACACAGAAACTTGAAATTTCAACGCACCAACATTAGTCACCTCCCCTTCTCATAAAATCACGCCATATATTTTCTCGCAATGTTCGCCCCCTGGCGATCCTATGATCCTGTGCGCAAAACATGGGTCTCCGATTACTGGAAAATCATTCATTTTGTGTTTCATGTCTTTATTTGGTTATGAAGACACCTGTGACTTAAAATCACTGAACCATGACGCCCTCAGTGTCCATTGCAGGCCACTTAGGGTATGTTCACATTGTACCGTATAGCTTTTTCGCCGGCACGAAAATCAGTTCACACATAAGAACGGTGATTTCGGCGCGATTTCTGTTAAACGGAGTAAAGCTGTGCCTCGCCGATCTCTTAAGTGGAGAGTCACATATCGGATAGATGTCGTGTCTTCACCAAAGGTTATCCGGTATAGTGTGAACATAGCCTTATTGTTATTATTCCGGTTCACTGGTTTTTGGCGCGCAAAGGAGATAAAGACGTCACCGACGTTAATTTATTCCACTTCAAAAAAGGGGTCTAATGAGTGCCTCCTACACTACTAAAGTGGACAAATCTTTTTTAGTGCTGATACCAGCGGGGTCCACCTTAGAGAGAGTTCACGACAGCGCAGCTGCCTGAATATATACCTTCTACAAACGCACTCTACCTTTTTCTCTATTAACTAAAGTATTTTCTTTTTCTCTTACAGCCGGATGGGACAGAACTGTTTCATTTTGTTGATGGATATCCATCTTGGGATGCCTACCTCCGAAGCATGATGGAAGATGGTACATGGGGTGATCACGTGATTCTACACGGCGCGGCAAACTGTTTTCAAACTTGCATCCACGTGATCAGCAGTCTTCCGCATCGCCATGACGTAATGGTCTGCCCAGAGTTTGATGTTACTGGTAGCAACCGGCTTGTGCTGGGTCACGTGCACGAGCTTCATTATGTTAGCCTTATTCCACAGAAAGGAGGTAAAGATGTCTGATTATACTGCGATTCAAGAGTTGCTAACTCGCGTTATGAAATGGAATACATTTGACCTTTATTGTGGCCCCTTGTTTGCAAACTTGTTGGCAGAAAGAAGAGGCCCATCTTTTCACATGTACAGTTTTTTAATCCGTCAATTCTCTTATTACTGTACACAGTAATTTTTAGGGAGTTATTATAACTCCAAAAAATGGAGTAAAAATTTTAGGTACAGGGTAACCCCTTTTTGGGGGTTACTTTAACTCCTGATTTAACTCCAAATCTGGGATCATTTTTACTCCGGAAAAAGAGGTCTTTTTACTCCCAGTCTGGAGTTAAAATAACTCTGAAAATGGGGTTATTTTACCTCCTCAATATCTGGGGTCATTTTTACTCCTGAAAAAGAGTTCTTTAAACTCCTTTTTGGAGTTAAAATAACTCCCCAAAAAATAACTCCACTGTAGGAAGTTAAATTAATCCCACTAGAGGAGTTATTATAACTCCTTGAAAATTACTATGTACAATTAGCCGTTTCAATAGACTAAGCATTCATAACAAAAAAATGTCTGCCTCAAAAAATTCATGTAGCCCCCTCAATTACTTAGATAAATTAATGCAGTGTTCTTGATAGAACTTGGTTTTAAGGGCCACCACATGGGCTGCAGTCCCGTGTAAATATTCCATCATTAGACCCTGTTCTAACTTTCGACCTGTATCTAACCTGAAGTTTTTGTCTAAGGTTATTGAAAAAGTTGCAGCCATGCGTCTGACGGATTGTTTGTGTGACAATGATCCGAATGAAAGTCTCCAGACTTCTTATAAGAAACACCACAGTTATGAGACAGCGCTTCTACGTATTTAGAATGATATACTGAAATCAATCGATAATAAACAATGCGTCGTTCTCTTGCTGCTGGACCAATCAGCAGCCTTCGACACCGTCGATCATAAGATCTTGTTACAAAGACTTCGATCCAGGTTTGGTATAAGAGGAAGAGCGCTTGCGTGGCTTCAGTCTTATCTTACGGATCGTTCCTAGTCAGTTCAGATTGATGGATTTACTTCTTATACACGCCCCCACTGGATGACCTTATACGATGGCATGATATGGAATTCCATCTATATGCTGATGATACTCAACTGTATACACCTTCAGTTGTGATGATAGCGTTGATCTTACCACTGCAATTTCCCGCATTGAAAGCTGTCTTGTCGATAATACTATTCTCTTGTATATAAAAAGAAAGTAACAAAAAAAGTCCAGCTAAACTTTTGGGTTATAACTTGTCACAAAAAGTGAATGGGGCGCTTTTAAGGTTGGAATCTTCCTTTTTTTTTAAGAGTGACATTCTTTTCTTTTAATCATTACTTTTTTAAAAATTTACAGGTCTTGAAAAAACCAAAGAAGGTGACGTTCCACAGAACGACTGTGAAAAAGATGCTGCAACAGGACCGATAGCAGGTAGTGTAATTGTTTGCTTTGTCAATTAAACCAAAGACTAATCGGGTGCTTTTAGCTTTTCAATGTTTAGTGTAGCATCGTTTCCCTCTCCCGCTTACAGGCCAAATCATTTAAATTCACTGCTAATTTTAAACTTTACAGGTGTTGAAAAAACCCAAGAAGATGACGTTCCACAAAATGACTTGGAAAAAGATGGTGCAACAGGACCGATGACAGGTAATGTCATTGTTTGCTTTGTCAATTAAACCAAAGACTATTCGGGTGCTTTTAGCTTTTCAATGTTTAGTGTAGCATCTACAAGTAAACTGACGTAAAATAACTGTTTCCCTCTCCCGCTTACAGGTCAAACCATTTAAATTCACTGGAAATTTTAAACTTTACAGGTCTTGAAAAAACCCAAGAAGATGACGTCCCACAGAATGACTTGGAAAAAGATGCTGCAACACGACTGATGACAGGTAATGTCATTGTTTGCTTTGCCAATTAAACCAAAGCCAAAATTTATTTTAGCAATAGAAGGAGGTTACTTTGTTCTTTTAAAACCACAGTAATTTTTCTGAAATTGTCGACTGCTTTAGGCATCAGACCAGTGCACTGTGCTGCGCCTGTTTTATGGAACTCGCTGCCATTAACTATAAGAATAAGTAGCAGCCTCGCCATCTTTAAAAAGCATCTTAAACATTTCTTTTTAGGAAAGCTAATAATTTACTAGAATAACTCTGAAGTTTAGTGCTTTGAATATTTTAATTTTAATTTTTTTATAGAATTTTAGACTTTTATTTTTTAGATTTTAGCATAGCATGGAATTCTCTTATTATTATTATTATTATTGTTATTAGTAGCTTTTTAGGAATTTTTTTAATTGTAAGTTAATGTTAAGCGCTTTTGAATATGTTATAGTTCTAGCGCTATACAAATTCTTCATCATCATCATTACCATTATCATCCTCTCCTATTAAACTGGCGTGAAATAACCTCTATCTTATTTTGTCTTTTTCACTTTCCTTTTACAGGTGAACCCATTTTCGTTGCACTTCAACAAATCCTGCTGGAAGCACGCATAGAATCTAGCAAAACTAAGCTGTCGCAGACGTTAAAGAGGACTGCTTTGGAGAAAGGTTTTGCGATTTCTGACAATCAAGGAGAGGGGAACTGCATGTTTTTTGCACTTTCAGAGCAGCTTGACCTCGTCAAAGGAATTCAAATGTCCCATGATGAGTTACGCCGAACAATTGTTCAACACCTTCGGGAAAACCCCAGGCTGGTAAGTACCTTATTATTTTTGCTTGGATGGATTCATTTGCAAGCCGTAAGCCGTCGCATTTGCCCGTTGAATTTTTTCATTGTTCTTAAGGTTATAAGTAATAAGGCCCTGTCCACACGTAGAGTATTTGAATTATTTTTCACTCGTCTACATAAAAACGCTGAAATGATTGAAATACGATAGCATCCCTCACAGAACAAACACAGTGCTACTAGCATATAATAAATGACATCGTCGTATTAGAAAACCTCTGTTTTTGTCCGTCCACTCGTAAACGAAAAGTCGACGTTTTCAAAAGTCTACTCTAGGGACCGCTTTCTGGTGACCTGTGTTTTTGGTGCCCGAAAAGGCCGTTTTCGTGTGGACAGAAGGCTAAAAATACCCTGATACGTGTGAGCGGGGCCTTTAATTCCTGCAAGCAAATGCGACGGCTTTACGGGTATGCTGCAAATGAATCCACCCTTTATGAGCAAAACAGCAGCTCTGCATGAGCATCACGCATGTTTGTACTTTTACTCGTCGTCCACTGCACGACGTGAAACTTCCTAACGCGACGTTTTGTGAAGGACCTCGAATGCACGGTGACGAAGTATTGTGATTGGATCGGGATGCTGTCCTTAAAATACAAATCCCAAAAATTTCTTCTCCTTTTTTTAATGTACAAAATGCTACGTAAGGACCATGAAGATTTAAATTAACGCAAATTCGTTTCCTTTAATCACATTTTTATCCCGGAGGTGTAATTGGAAACCGATTTTAGGAAATCTGTCTCTGTCGCCTCGATCTTCTGACTTATGTCCTAATTTTTATATGTACGTTATTTTGCTAAGTAGGAAATGTTCACTGAAAGCCGCTTTGTTCCAACAGCGTATGTCTATATAGTGAAGTGAAGTGAATACTTTATTTAAAGAGGGTAAAACTTGACAGTTACAACATCGACTGACACACTTGAGGTCCTCAATACTGGTTATATGTGTAGGGTTATTTCTGACCCAACGTACTTGGCCAAGTACACTTACACGTGTAACAGACACCTCACTAAAACGTCCTAAAGTACTTTCCTGAAAGTGTTGGTCCCTGCCGTTCTTAATTGTTTTTGTTGGAGTTTTTACAAGGAAAATAGTACAGGATACACAGTTTAGACCTCGTTCTTGAAGTGAAATCCCATTAGCATGAAGTGGAACAAATAAGTGTAGGCGACGTCTTTATCTAATGAATGAAATGCGGTAGAATCTCATCAAGATAACGTCTAAGTTATACGAGCTATTTTTATGTAGTTTCTAGTATAACCAGTTATTCTTACATTGATGATGTAACTTGCAGGAATCATGCTCTTATTTGGTGTATTTGGTGAGAATGCTTTCATAGTTTATTTCATTGTCCATTGCAGACAACCTTTTGGCCTGGTTCCGGCTCACTACTAAAGTGGACATATCTGCTCTAGTGCCGATACCAGCGGGGTCCGCCTTAGAGAGAGCTGACGACAGCGCAGCTGCCTGAATATATACCTTCTACAAAAGCACTCGACCTTTTTCTCCATTAACTACAGTATTTACTTTCTTTCTTACAGCCGAATGGGACAGAACTGTTTCATTTTGTTGGTGGATATTCATCTTGGGATGCCTACCTCACTAACATGATGGTAGATGGTACATGGGGTGATCACGTGATTCTACACGGCGCGGCAAACTGTTTTGAAACGTGCGTCCACGTGATCAGCAGTCTGCCACATTGCCATGACGTAATGATCTGTCCGGAGTATGATGTTACTGGTAGCAACCGGCTTGTGCTGGGTCACGTGCATGAGCTTCACTATGTTAGCCTTATTCCTTACTCGACTGATTTAAGGCATCCCTCCTCGCTCCATTTTGGGCTTTTGTCATTTTTTCTTGTTTTGTCCGCCATCTTCTTTCATTTTTACTTAAACATATGTGCTTAAGATTGAAACCATTTTTGAAGCTCACACTGTGCCTCTTAAGGTCACGTGACCAGCCACGCCCATAATAATGCG